CTTCCCTAATAACCCACCCTAGACACTCACCAAGCCAAAGCAGAGTCCTGCTAAGGTTCCAACACCAACCACGACTGCAGCCAGAGAAATGAGGATGATGCCCCAGGGCTGTGAGTATCCACTTGATTGGATCACGTTTGTTGGGGTGTCGCTCACACTAACTGTGTTTGTGCCCATGGATACCAGGCCTGTTTATGGGAGGTGGTGCTGGTCCCAGGGGTGGTGGTCACGGAGAGATCCCGTGGTGGTCCCAATGCCTGGGACCGAGGGCATAGACTGTGTTCCAATAGTCGATGTGCCTGGGCCAGAAGTATTCGGGGCTATTCCAGGCATGGTATTGCCAGTAGCAGGGGACATGGAATCCATTCCAGGGGACATGGTAATAGAGATGGGGATGGTTGATCTGGTTCCAGTGGTCCCGGTGCCTAGGAAACAGGTCAGACAAGATGGTGCATTTGTAGTGGAGATAACTAGAGGGGAGGCAGGGGTCTTTAGAGCACAGGGGACTAACTCCAACACCCCTATGGTGGTGGTGCGTCAGGAGAGGGGTTGTGGGGGGAGGAGAGATGGTAGAAGTGATTTGCCTGTGGTCATGGTGCCAAGAATAGAGGTGGGTGTCTTAGAGGAGAGGAGGAAGAGAGACGAGTCCACTGGTGGTGTAGGTGATGGTGGAGGCAGAAGGCTGAGGAAATGTGACCATGATGAATGCAGAAGTGGAAGATCTATTCCACTTTAGAAGTGGCCACCCAAATAGAAGTGGGTGGGCTGGGATAAAAGGTGGTGGGTCCTGATTGTCTTGGGATTGTGGTCACTGGGTGTGAGGAAGGTGCTGGAGGAGGAGATGATGGAATCAGATTCACTCCTGGCTGTGCGTGGGAACACAAGTGACATCATCTAACACCACTGTGGTGGTCAACAAAGTCCAGGTGAGTGTGCTTGGAACTGATGCAGAAGCACCTGACCCCTGAGGAAGAGGCCGGTCACAGGGACAGGAGAGGGTGGACTCAGACAAGGTGATAGGATCTGATACAGCAGGGGCAGTGGTGGTGCTGCCTTAGGGAGCAACAGTTGTGCCTAGGTCAGAAGGGACTAAAGTCTCCATGAATAGTGCCAGTCACTGGAACAGAGGTGAGTGAGCTCAGAACAGAGGGGACAGTACCAGATCCAACCCGAGTGCTGACGGCAAGAGCGGAGCTGGTCTTATTCAGAGCAAATTCAGAGCAAGAGCCAGAGTATGAAAAACTCGTTTGGTCTTCAACTGGGGCAAGGGTTGGCAAACTTTCTTTGTAAAGGGCTAGATGGTAAATATTTTATGCCGTTTGGGTCATACGGTCTCTGTTGCAGCTACACAGAGGAGTTAGAAAGCAGCTGGAGACAATATATAAATGAATGAGTGTAGCTGTGTTCCAATAAAACTTTATTTACAAAAACAGATAACCCGTGAGACTTGACCCATGAAGCCTGGCTGCCAACCCCTGGACTAGGGGCCAGTATATTGACGTGAGGTCGTGGTGTCACAGGGTGGGCTGAATAGAGCTGATTGTACCTGGCACAGAAGAGAGCGCCTCTGACCACTAACTTGTGTTGTGTGTGTCGGGGGGTGATATTGGCAACTATGTGTTTCTGATTGGAAGGGAAGTGGTGGACACCAAACAAAGCAGGTGAGACCAGAGTAGAAGTAAGTGGGTTCCAAGAAGAGGGAAGAGAATTATGTCTACCTGGTGCANATCTATTCCACTTTAGAAGTGGCCACCCAAATAGAAGTGGGTGGGCTGGGATAAAAGGTGGCGGGTCCTGATTGTCTTGGGATTGTGGTCACTGGGTGTGAGGAAGGTGCTGGAGGAGGAGATGATGGGATCAGATTCACTCCTTGCTGTGGCTGGGAACACAAGTGACATCATCTAACACCACTGTGGTGGTCAACAAAGTCCAGGTGAGTGTGCTTGGAACTGATGCAGAAGCACCTGACCCCCGAGGAGGAGGCCGGTCACAGGGACAGGAGAGGGTGGACTCAGACAAGGTGATAGGATCTGATACAGCGGGGGCAGTGGTGGTGCTGCCTTAGGGAGCAACAGTTGTGCCTAGGTCAGAAGGGACTAAAGTCTCCATGAATAGTGCCAGTCACTGGAACAGAGGTGAGTGAGCTCAGAACAGAGGGGACAGTACCAGATCCAACCCGAGTGCTGACGGCAAGAGCGGAGCTGGTCTTATTCAGAGCAAGAGCCAGAGCATGAAAAACTCGTTTGGTCTTCAACTGGGGCAAGGGTTGGCAAACTTTCTTTGTAAAGGGCCAGACGGTAAATATTTTATGCCGTTTGGGTCATACGGTCTCTGTTGCAGCTACACAGAGGGGCTAGAAAGCAGCTGGAGACAGTATGTAAATGAATGAGTGTAGCTGTGTTCCAATAAAACTTTATTTACAAAAACAGATAACCCATGAGACTTGACCCATGAAGCCTGGCTGCCAACCCCTGGACTAGAGGCCAGTATATTGACATGAGGTCGTGGTGTCACAGGGTGGGCTGAATAGAGCTGATTGTATTTGGCACAGAAGGGAGCGCCTCTGACCACTGGGATGGTTGTCAACAGAGTTGAGGTGGCTTTGCTGGAGGCAGAAGGGACAGAATATAACTAACTTGTGTTGTGTGTGTCAGGGGGTGATATTGGCAAATATGTGTTTCTGATTGGAAGGGAAGTGGTGGACACCAAACAAAGCAGGTGGGACCAGAGTAGAAGTAAGTGGGTTCCAAGAAGAGGGAAGAGAATTATGTCTACCTGGTGCAGGGCTTGACTGGAGTCTAGGACAGAGGAGCTAGGAACAGTGAAAAGGTGGTGGTTGTCACTGGAGTTAGAATGTGTGTGCTCAGAGAACACGCGGTGGCTGATACCTGACACAACTGTGCTGGTGATGGGCTGAGCAGAAATGTCAGTGGCCTGGGTGGACACCAAGGTGGTGGCCGAGATGGTGAGAGGTCCAGAGACACGGGTGGAGACTTCAGGGGCCCCAGAGGTGGTGGTAGAGGCCGAGATGGGCGATGAGGCCAAAACAAAGGCAGTGGTGACCTCAGAGGCTGTGGTGCGTCCAGAAAGTGAGGTGGAAGCTTCGGTGTCCCCAGAGACTGTGGAGGGGAACACGGTGGGCACAGCTGCTGGAACGGAGCCCAGGGAGCTCTTGGAGGCTGTGTCTGAGACAGTCAGGGTCTCGGGAGCTGAGATGCTGGCTGTGGAGGACGCAGTGAAAGTGGGCAAGTCTGTGATGAGCTGAGAGGCTGAGGAGGAGGCTGTGGAGGACGTGGTGGTGTCAGGGCCTGTGGTGGAAGCTATGCCACTAGCAGACTGTGAAGTGACCTCAGAGGCTGTGCTATAGGCCATGCTGGCCTCAGATCTTGTTGTGGGGGCTGTGGGAGTCCCAGAGGCTGACTCTGCAGTGCTCTCTCTTGTGGGCACAGACACTATTGTGAAGATGATGGGGGTTTCAGTGTCTGTGGTGGAAGCCATGGAGGTCTCAGAGGCTGTGGCAGTCTCAGCGGCCATAGTGGAGGTTATGGTGCTTTCAGAGGCTGTGGCAAAGACCTCAGTTTCAGAGGCAGAGATGGAGGTCACCGGGCACAGATGCTGTGGTGGAGACTGTGTCACTCTCAGAGCCTGTGGTGGAGGTCACCGTGGGCACAGATGCTGTGGTGGAGACTGTGTCACTCTCAGAGCCTGTGGTGGAGGTCACCGTGGGCACAGATGCTGTGGTGGAGACTGTGTCACTCTCAGAGCCTGTGGTGGAGGTCGTTGTGGGCACAGATGCTGTGGTGGAGACTGTGTCACTCTCAGAGCCTGTGGTGGAGGTCGTTGTGGGCACAGATGCTGTGGTGGAGACTGTGTCACTCTCAGAGGCTGTGGTGGGGGTCTTTGTGGGCACAGATGCTGTGGTGGAGACTGTGTCACTCTCAGAGCCTGTGGTGGGGGTCATTGTGGGCACAGATGCTGTGGTGGAGACTGTGTCACTCTCAGAGCCTGTGATAGAGGTCGTTGTGGGCACAGATGCTGTGGTGGAGACTGTGTCACTCTCAGAGCCTGTGATAGAGGTCGTTGTGGGCACAGATGCTGTGGTGGAGACTGTGTCACTCTCAGAGCCTGTGATAGAGGTCGTTGTGGGCACAGATGCTGTGGTGGAGACTGTGTCACTCTCAGAGCCTGTGATAGAGGTCGTTGTGGGCAAAGACGCTGTGGTGGAGACTGTGTCACTCTCAGAGCCTGTGGTGGGGGTCACTGTGGACACAGATGCAGTGGTGGAGACTGTGTCACTCTCAGAGCCTGTGGTGGGGGTCACTGTGGACATAGACTCTGCTGTGGTCTCTGAAGCTGTGCTGGAAGCTGGAGTGGTCTCATAGCCTACAGTGGTGTCAGAGGCTATGGTGAAGACTGTGGTGGGCACAGATGTTATGCCACAGCAGGTGTTGCCGTGTCTGTGGAGGGCGCAGGCCCTCCAGGTGTTACAGAGGCTTTAGTGGAGTCTGTAATGGTCTCACAGGTAGAGGCCAGAGTGGTGTCCGAGGCTTGGGTGGAAATCGTAGTGGTCTCAGTGGTCTCAGCCTTGCTGGTCTCAGAGGCTGTTGTGTTCTTAGAGCCTGAGGTAGAGGCTGTGGTGGGCACAGAAGTTATAGTGGAGAACGAGGTGGTCTCAGAGATTACGGTAGAGGCCAAGGTGGACTCAGACACTGGAGTAGTGACTGTCACGGTCAGCGATGCTATGGTGGAGAACTCGGAGTTTGAGCTGGAGGCTAAGGTGGTCTCAGAGGTTGTGGTGGAGTTTGTGGTTGGCACAGACATTGTCATGAATGGTGTGGTGTTCTCAGAGACTATTGTGGAGGCTGTGATTATCTTATCAGGTGTTGTGGTAACTGTGGAAGGCAGTGACCCTGAAGTATTCGCAGAGGCTTTAGTGAAGACTGTCATGGTTTCAGAGGCTGAGGTAGAGGCCACAGCAGGCACAGACCCTGCAGTGGAGGACCTGACGGTCTCAGAAACTGTGCGGGACTCTGTGGTTTTTTCAGTGTGAATGGTGGTCTCAGAGACTGTGCTGGAAGCTGTGGTGAACTCAGAGCCTGTGATGGTTTCAGGGGCCATGGTGAAGGCTGTGGTGGGCACAGATATTATCATGGAGGGTGTGGTGGGCGCAGATGTTATCGCGGAGGCTGTGGTGGGCACAGGTGTTATCGTGGAGGGTGTGGTGTGCGCAGGTGTTATCGTGGAGGGTATGGTGGGTGCAGATGTTATCATGGAGGCTGTGGTGGGTACAGGTGTTATCATTGACGGTGTGGTGGATGCAGGTGTTATCGTGGAGGGTGTGGTGGATGCAGATGTTATCATGGAGGCTGTGGTGGGTACAGGTGTTATCATGGAGGGTGTGGTGAGTGCAGATGTTATCGTGGAGGCTATGGTGGATTCAGATGTTATCGTGGAGGCTGTGGTGGGCACAGACCTTGTGGTGGGGAATACAAGCATCTCAGAGTCCGTGGTAGAAGCTCTGTTGGTCGTAGAGTCTGCAATAACCTCTGCGCCTTTGGTAGAGGCTTTGGCAGTTTTAGAGGCTGAGGCAGAAGACCTTGTGGGAACAGAAGCTGTCATTGAGGCTTTGGTGACCTCAGAAGCTGTGGTGAAGGCTGTTGTAGTAACAGTCTCTGCGGTGGAAAGCCAGAGGATCTCAGAGACTGTGGTGGGCACAGATGTTATCATGGAGGGTGTGGTGGGCACAGACACTGTGGTGGCCTCAGCTGACAGGGTGACTGTGAATTTTAAAATCAACATTATTCCTTCTTTTCTATTACACAAGCCCTATACTTCCACGTAGTCCTGGATGGCTTATTATTAAAATACAAGTGCTCCTTCTTTATATTTCTCCCTCTCATCTGTGACTCTGTGTTTTCTTTCCAACTTGTTAAAGTTATTTTTTTTAGTTATTCCAGTAATCACACTGCCTTTGATTCTCTATTTTGCTCTCAGAACAATGCTTTGTTTTGGCCTAATCTTATTCTTGTCAAATCTTAAAATGTAATCCAACGCAAAAACCTGCATGTAAATGTTTTTAGAGATTTTATTCAAAACCTGGAAACCACCCAATTGTCCTTTAACGGGTAAATGGTTATGCACACTGTGGTATGTCCATACAATGGAAGACGACTCAGCACCGAGAAGGAGCTACTGATACATGCAATAACATGGATGATTCAAATGCATTTTGCTGTGAAAGAAGCTAAACTCAAAAGGCTACATATTGTAGGATTCCATGTACACAACATTCTAGAGAAGGCAAAACAATCAGGACAGAAAACAAATCTGTGGTTTCCAGGAGATGGAGTGAAGGGAGGGGCTAACAACACAGGGAAACGAGGGAGCTTTGGGGGATGATGGAAATGTTCTGAATCTTGATGATAGTAGTGGTTGCATGACAGCATTTGTCAAAATTCATAGGACTGTATAGCAAAAGTGCAAATGTTATTATATAGAAATTATACCTTAATTTTTCAAATTATTCATGATAAGACAACAGAAAAATCATTTAAATATGACACATTGTTTTTCTTTGTTATGGGTAGTTGGTGTTCATAGGAGAAAGAAATGTTGGTTACTAGGGGCTTCACAGTGATAATGGCACCTGCGCAAAATTACCACAATTGGGTATTTTCAATAAATTGGAATTAAGGTCGGATGTGTAAACAGCTTTAGCTAAGACTCACAATTGGTAGTGAGTCACTTTTTAGAGACATGAAGTAGACTGTCTGAAATAGGTANGACTCACAATTGGTAGTGAGTCACTTTTTAGAGACATGAAGTAGACTGTCTGAAATAGGTAAATCCTACAAATCCTATTACAGGAACATCGAGCCCTTAGGTTCTATAGTTTATGTATGGCCACATTTTGGAGGGCTTTTTTAAGTAGTAGAATTATTGTTGATTTTCTAGGCATTTAATAGGAGATCTTGAATGGAGGTGAAACATATAGAAGAATATTATTCTCTGGAGATATAAAATATGTTTAGGATAAATGGCGGCATTGGATGAGCTGAAGGTTTTTCAGTGTTTCTAGTTTCCAGAAATAATCTATGATGCCAAAGGAGGTGGTAGGAATGGGTTAGGGATGAGTTTGCAGGTGTAGTACAGTGATACTTTCATATATACTCAGTACTACATACTCATTCATTGATTCAGATATTGAGTGCTTAATATGTACCTGGTATTTTGCCAAACTCTGAGCACATCCCTGTGAGCAAGAGTGATGGCCTTTTATTCTAGTAAAGAAGAGAAATAGAATGTGTAAAGAATATAAATACACATTGGGTTATGTGATGTTAAGGAAAACGGTGGTCCTGCTTTAGATATTACAGTCAGGAAAGGTCTCTCTGAGGAGCTGACAAATGAACTGAGATCTGGAGGATAAAAAGGCAACCACTTGAAAAGCTAGGGGAAGGATGTCACATACCAATGGTGTAAGTACAAATCCCTGAGTTGTTAATGAGCTTGATGTGATCCAAAAATAGACAGGAGACCAGGGTGGCCTTAAGGTAGTTACTGAAGGAGAACATTGTTAAGAAATGAGGTTAGAGGGGGACTTGTAGACCATGGTAAACAGGTTAAATTCCATTTCAAATACAATGAAGAACCATTGGAATGATATAATCTGATTAATTTTTCTTAATTTGTTTCTTTTGAAATAAAAAATCACAAATTCTTTTGTAACAAGTATAGTGCAAGAAACTTTCTCCCTGGAATCATTTGGCATTTATTTGGTTACCTGGTTTTTCATCATCATTTCGTACCTTATATATTCTCATATACAACCATCAAAATCAGGAAATTCACACTAATATATTACTGTCACTTAATCTTCAGATCCCTTTCAAGTTTTATCAGTTGTCCCAATAATTTTTTTTATAGCAAACTGATCCAGTTCAGAATTACGTGCTACTTTTACTTGTCATGTCTCTTCAGTCTTGTTCAGTTTGGTGCAGTTCTTCAGTCTTCCCTTGACCTTCATGGCCTTGACACTTTTGAAGATTACAGGCCAGTTATTTTATAAGATGTCTTTCAAATTAAGTCTGTGTGATGTTTCCTCATGATTAGGTTTATATTATTAATCTTTGTCAGGAACACCACTGAAGTAATAATGTAGTCTTCTCTTTGCTTACTATCAGGTGGCAGATAATATCAATGGGTCCAATCATTGATGATGCTCCCTTGGATTATCTGATTAACGTGATATAGCCAGGCTTGTTTCTCTCCCTTTGCAGTTAATACATATTTTGCTGGAATTGACAACTTTACAATTGTGAAATATCCCTCTTCATTCCTAGTAATATAACTTGACCTTAAATCTATTTTGTACGATATTAAAACAGCCACTCAATCTTTTTTGATTGGTGTTAGTATGACCAAAATATAGTATGGCCATATTTTTCTTCTCTTTCTTTTTAGCCTATTTGTATAGTTATGATTAAAATCAGTTTCCGTGGACAGCATTTAATTGGGGCTTGCTTTTTTAACCAATATGACAATCTTTACCTTTTAATTGGAGTGTGTTGGGCTGTTTACATTTAGTGTAATTATCACTATGGTCAGGTCTAAATCTATCATCTTGATATTTATTTTCTATTTGTACCATCTGTTTTTTGTTCCTTTTCCTGCTTTCTTTTGGATTGAGTATTTTTTATGATCTAATTTTATTTTTCACTAGCAGTTTATTAGATATCCTTATTGTTTTTTT